AGTTCTCATCGTATAAAACATAACTCACACTGACGGAAAGATGGTCATCTTGGTGTCAGTGATAAAACGTGTTATGATCATTTCAAGGCACCTGAACTTTCAACTGATTTTTATTCGTGGGGACAAAAGACTATGGTTTATAAATATAACAAACGAGAGTCACATCGCCTAAAAACAGAACTTCGAAAGGACTCGCCTTATTTCAGATCGGCAATAAGAAGACGATTACAGGGTACGTCAGTTTACGAAAAGAGAGCTGCCCAGCCTGAGAATTTCTATAATGAGGCTTCTCGGAAGCATTCCGAGCGGTGGTTATGTAGCATAGAAAATGAGCAGCAACAAATTCGGTTCATTTGGATTTTATATGCGTTTCGAAGAAGCGTTGGGAAGCGAGCGAACAGTCAATGCTATCATGGAATTATCCTGAGGAGCAAGCTTCTTTTTGGATAATCTAAGGTCAAGTCAGCTAGTATCATGTAGCTCACTTTACAACTTGACGGAATGAAACGTATTTTCTTCGGTGGCACATCAGTTGCCCATAATACTGCTTTCGTAGCTTTAAATATAAACTTTTACAATTCAAAGCAATATTTTGCATGGTGTCACGCTGAGATGCCGCGATACAATATCAGTGTTTCAAAAAACAATGCAGGGGGACATTACGCTTAATTTCTAGTGGTAGTCGATTAAAAGTTTCCGTACAAAGACGTGCAAAGCATCGCAAAACAAAACAAAAGTCTTACCGGTGTAACGAGGAGAGAACTTTTCGCGATAATTTGCGCAAATGGATAGAAGACGACAGCCGAGGTTGAGGTCGAAACCGTCCTCCTTGGACACCTGGCTGACGACCTGAAGAGAAAACAACAGCGACGTTAGGCGATTAATTGCGGGTGGTTCACGCATTAGTCAACAAGGCTCACGTTCAAACAAGCGATGAGGTTTGCTTCAAATGGCTCCTGAAACGCCCTTGGGTCCAGGCACCATTCCAATAGCTCCTTGGCGGCTGCGGTGAAGGTGCGCGGGTCTCGCAACGCCTACAAATATTAATTTTGTATTAGTACATGAGGGAGGTAGTTAGTGACAGACAGAAGCGACAAGGCGTACTTGCTGAATGCAGATCAGTCTCTCGTTGTTTTTCTGGACATGTTGTTCATAGGCGGTGCCCATCATCGGTAAACATCGTCGTCAGGTGTTCTGAAGAAGAATCGCGTTGAACCGATTTGAGTTCCTAAAGTAGAGCGCGTCAAAACACGTGGTAAGCGTTTTGCTCGAAAAAGTTGCGCGGCAGCGGCAAATAAACGCGCTCGTCATTTGTCCATCTTTCCTATCCCGAGGAGTTGGTACCTGAAGGACGGAGGTGAGAGGTGCTATAAGAGGGAGATAGGGGGACACAGTGTCAAACGGTTATTGCGAAAATTGAAACAGCGACGTTTTCAGTGACTTCTGTGATCTTAAAATTGATTTTTGATCGGTCCATCAGGGATAGCCGAATCATTAGACATCTGAAGCCATCTTGTGAAGGTTGTCCATCTGGATAGGCAACCGAACAATAGGATTTGCTTTTATTCCAGTTGATTTCCCGAAAATAAAATAAGACGACGATACAGTCTTGAATACTTCCGAGGTGTCCATCGTAAAGGAGTTAAGTGTCCGTTGCAAAACGCGGATCGGATTAAAAAATGCCGCAGTCTTCAGGCCGAAGCT